ACGGTGATGAGGAGGAGGGTAATGATATTGATGGTGATGGCGAAGGCGATGATGATAATGATAGGAATTGCAAGTGGAAATGGTGATGGTGATAATGAAGAAGAAGATAATGATGATGGGATTATAAATATTACGGTGATTATGATGCTGCTGCTGATGATGCTCATAATGATGATCTTGACGATGATGAGGAGGGCAGCAATGATGATGGTGATGACGAGGACGATAATGAGGATGATAGGAATTACAAGTGGAGATGGTGATAGTGATAATGAAGAAGAAGATAATGATGATGGTATGATTATAAATATTACGGTGATTATGATCATAGTGATTATGATGATGATGATGCTAATGATCATAATGATGATCTTGACGATGATGAGGAGGGCAGCGATGATGATGATGATGACGAATACGATAATGATGATGATAGGAATTGCAAGTGGAGATGGTGAGGGTGATAATGATGAGGATGATGATGATGATGATGGGATTATAAATATTACGGTGATTATGATGATGCAACTGCTGATGATCATAATGATGATCTTAACGATGATGATGTGGAGGGCAGCGATGATGATGGTGATGACGAAAACGATAATGATGATAATAATAATTGCAGTTGGAGATGGTGATTATGATAATGAAGAAGAAGATAATGATGGTGGGATGACGTAGATTACGATGGTTACGAAGATAGTGATGATGATGCCTCTTCTGCTGATTTTAATGATGATGGCGGTGATGATGCTGAGGATGATGGAATGTTTGTGATGCTGGCGCGGATGCTAATGATAATGAAGAAAAAACAAGATGATGATGATGATGAAAGATGAAGGCAACAGAGCATTGACTGCATCGTCTCAACTTAACTGTGCCTCAGGCCAGATGGTCTAACAATTAGACTGAGTCTCAATTTAAAGTTTAAGTTTAACATAAGAATGGCAATACTCTGTGAATATCTCTCCAGTCCATCAGTCGGAGAGGAAATTATGGTCCCATTTCTGTCTCACGCAACGTTGCCCCTTCATTAGGCTCTCTCTGGGCCGACAAAGCCTCAGCGACTTCGAGCTCTTGCCATCTCCTCAACCTGCCATCAGGACCTCCAGTAGCAATTGTCAGTGGGCAAGCACATCCACATTTGCATATGAAATCAGCTAAGCCAAACTGTGCCCACCCATTTTGGGCCTTTCTACCTCAGCCCACCCCCCATCTCCCACCCCTCGAGTGGGAATTGGGAGTTTTGGGTGTTCAAACCTCAACTTAAGGCCGGCAGATCCATCCTTCCGGGGCTTATCTGTCCTTCTCCAGAGCCCGGGATCACATGTTCAGATCCGCCAGACGGCCGCACCTCTGCAAAATCGGTAATCACTTTGACAAATGGCGTACATCGAGTTGATGCGAAAACCGGACATTGAACTAAAACCAGCCTAACGGTCGTCGGAATTGGATGCATTGCCGACAATTATGCTTAATTCAAGGCTAAAAGGTGGGCCGAATCTTCAACCAACGCATCAGCTGGTGCTTATTCTCCCACACTCTTACAGACACGGGTCAAACTTGAGACCCATTCGGCTGAGAGTAAGGCCAGGATGGTGCTGTCCTGAGGTTTGGGCTTAAAACAGTACTTATCGAACCCAAAATTGGGTCCTTCGGAAGTAACTTGACTGACACATCTTGGCTTTAGTGGTGCATATACAATGTTTATTTGAGTTCAGATAAATAAAGCATTGCTGAAGATGGCTTAACATCTCTCTCTTTCTCCCTACATAAATAAATAAATAAATAAATAAATAAATAAATAAATAAATAAATAAATAAATAAATAAATAAATAAATTAAAATAAAAATATTTATATATATATATATGAATCATAGCTTAAGTCTATCAATCAAGCAAGAGTAATTCTTACATAACTTCCTAACTCGAGTCGGCGTTTTACGCACTAACATTCTTGAATATTCTAGTAGTAGTCATTGGAAGTAGTAGGTTTCGAAACTACCAGTAGATCTAGAATAAGAGATACTTTCACTCCAAGCCTCAAAACTCATGAATAATTGGCAATCCCATAACAAAATGTGATAAATGGCAGGCCTTTTTATTCACATCTGCCCTCCACATCTATCGGCACTCGTAACAGTGTGGTGCAGTGGTGGCATTTGTTTCGTTTATAACTAGATTTTCAAGACTCATCTTATATGATGTCAACATGCTTAAATTGTACGCTTTACTAGCCTGATGAGATCGAGACTGCACTCCGGTCAAGCCTGAATGAAGATACAGTTTAGGAAGCAGGACGAAATGGACTTCGACGTTGTTCAGAGTCCCACATATCGGATTATGGGAAAATTCAGCCACCAGTTCTATATCACCTTGGGCGAGATATGGCAAATATAGCTTACATTTGCTCCGGAAAGACATAACCAAATCATTATACATTATCTACCACTCACTCCCTCTCTCACTCTCGCTCTATGTCTAAGTGTGTTCAGCACATTTGAGTCACTATTGGTAGGAGATATTGCTTTTGTGTGTTTCTCTCAGCTAGAGTAGTTTGTACAAATGAGAGCCAGCACTGACGACGTCCGTCAAGGGATGCAACGGACGAAAGCTCAGCCTTTTTCCACCGAAATCGAAGGAGAAGGTTTCGTAGACTTCGTGGCAACATTCAACAATTAGAGAGGGTGTCAATTAGTATTGGTCGAATGATCTACGAAGCCCTCTTTTCGACACTTTCACGCAAAATGAAAGTTACTACAACTCTTCGAAAACTTAAGCATCTTTTTCTCATCAATGCTTGCTTTAATCCTCGGAAATGATCGTGTCACTCTACTTGAGTAAACTTGATGGGTATATTTTTAGATCAAGAATTGATATTAAGTAAGAAGTTTAGTCCTCCTGGCCCCAAAAATATGATATATGGAAGGACAGCTTGATTTCTAACTATGATGCGAATAGAAAATGTATTCATCCGATTCCGGTAGTTGAGTTTTCCCACAACCATGTGAATAGGTCTCCTATTTCTATTGAATTGCATACTTAGTCTTGCTTTCTCAAAGTATTCTCCTCCAGGCAGAAGTAGACTGTTGTTTCGATCTAGCCTGGATATCATCAACCTTCTCAGTAGGACTCTATTACGATCAGGCCAGACTGTCACGAGTACCCTTAAATCAAAAAGCAGGTGTGAATTTCAAGGAAGGCCATTTCACAATGTGAACTGGGATAGTTTCTGAGGCAAGACTGAAATTGCTATAGCAATCGACTAGATTATATATTTTTGTTTATTAAGTAGGTTTACGAGACTACTAGTAGATCATATATTTAAGATGCATTCATCTTATTCTGCTTAAAGTAATGAAGCATGACATCAAAATATAGAAATGTTTCGCTAAAGTAGCATGGTTTGAGGCCCACTGGGGGGGTTAAAACTGAAGCCTGGCCTGAATGTGAATACTTTTTGTGAAGCCGGGCTATTTATAATTCAATGGCTGCGTCAGAACTAATCATATGTTTGCGGCAAAACGAAACTATTTTTCGTTTCGGGTAGCTTTTCGAGTCTACCAATAAAT